AATTACTGGCAAAGAGTTGAAAATGCTCTCTAAAAATTTACAATTAAAAAAAAAATTCCGTGTACAAAGTCTATGGGAAAAATTAAATATTCAAAATTCTATAATAAATCACGTGATGACGACAGCATGACGAAAAGTTTCGGCATACATCTTCAGATGGTTGTTAATGACTATGCCAAGTTTAAAGTTGATCGGATTTAAAATAATTGCCAAAGTGGCTTGTAGAATAAAAACGTGTACAAAACCTATGGGAAAAGTGGAAAAAGAAAAGAAAAAAAAAAAAAAGGAAAAAAAAAAAACTTTAACGAAAACAATAGCTGGTCCCAATTGAAATTGGGAACAGCTAACTAGAAATGTGTTTGTGGACAAACACTGAGCTGTTTCGACCTTTTTATTAATGACTGCCGTAAAGGAGTTTCATCGAGGTCGAATGTACATGTACATGCGTATTCTATACAAAAAGTGTCCATCCTATGTAAAAAAAAAAAACATTTTTCATGACGTCATGATGACAGCACACATTTTTAAAAACTTTCTGTAACTATCTACGACCTAACAAACCTTTTTCAAAAAAGAATTTCGAATTAACCACGTTCCAGTGATGAGATATGAGTAAAAGGTCCAAAAATTGCATAATTTATATAAAATCACATGCTGACGTCATTGTGACGTCACTGCATTTTTTTTCTATAACACGTCCCGGAATAGTTGCATACCAAGTTTGAACCCAATTGGACCTCCGATTCTGTAGATATAGGGCCTTAAAATATGCACTTTAAGGATGACGTCGTGTGACACGTGATGACGTCATGATGAAGTCATGATTCGGCATACATCTTCAGATGGTTGTATAAGTGTGTGCCAGGTTTGAAGTCGATCGGGCCGTTTTTTATAGAATTTTTGCAAAATTTGAAGAAAATATTAAAATTCGAAAAATTCATAAAAAATCAGATGATGACGTCATGATAACGTCACTTCAGATTTTGAATGCTGTTATCTATACCTACCAACCCACCAAGTTTCATGACGATCGGACATACCCTTATATGTGAATCAAAAAATCACGTTTTTGATGACGTCATGATGACGTCACACATTATACGAAATTATGTGCATCTATCTATGACCTAACAAACCGGTTACAAAACAAATTTCGAATTTACCACATTCCGTTTATGAGATATGAGTAAAAGGTCCAAAAATTGAATAATTAATATAAAATCACACGATGACGTCATCATGACGTCACTGCAATTTTTGTCTATAACACGTCCCGGAATACTTGCATACAAAGTTTGAACCAAATCAGACTTTCGGTTCTGTAGATATAGGGCCTTAAAGTATGTTGTTTTAAGATGACGTCACGTGACACGTGATGACGCCATGATGACGTCATGATTCGGCATACATCTTCAGATGGTGGTCTAAGTGTGTGCCAGGTTTGAAGTCGATCGGATTTGAAAAAAGTCCAAAAGTGCCTTGTAGAACGAAAACACGTGTTATCCTATGGGAAAAAAAGTGGAAGAAAAAAAAAAAAGAGAAAATAAAAAAATAACAAAAACAAGAGCTGTTTCGGTGTGTACACCGAAACAGCTAAAAAAGGAAAACATTTTTTTTTTACGAAAACAAGAGCTGTTCCCAATTGAAATTGAGAACAGCTAAAAAAAAAGGGAAAAAAAATTTGAACGAAAACAACAGCTGTTCCATATTGAAATTGGGAACAGCTAATAATAATATTAACAAACAGCACTTATATTAGACACAGTTTATATGCAAGACATTCAAGGATCCAGTCTAGATGGTGAAGAGAAAACTCAATTTTGTGGAAGAAATGTTATGTTTTCAGCTGCCACTGAACATTTGTGATGTCATATTCTTGTCTGAGATATTTGGGAAGTGAGTTCCAACAGCGAGGAGCAATGTTAGAATAAGGTCTGTCTCCGTAACTGACTACCAGTCTGAGGAACAGGAGACTTTTGTTCGTTGACCTTAGAACTGACCTGTCAGAGCAGGGTTGCAGCACGTTCTTGAGATAAAGGGGCAGTACCATGAAGTGTCTTTAATGTGACGAGGAGGACCTTGATCTGAATTAAGTTTTTGATGTAGCTTGTTGAGGATGGGAGTGATGTGATCTGATTTTGTAGAACCTGCCAGAATATACGCACAGCATTGTTTTGTACTATGTGCAGATGATACTGTGTGGAAAACCTGAAGCTGTTGCAGAAATTGTGTTTGAAGGTGACAAAGGACATGGATGAGTTGTACTTCCAAATTCTGAGATGGTAGTTGCCTGATTTTTGCTATACTTCTTAGATGCATGTATCTGACAATTCCTAGAAACCTGGGGCCATATTCATGAAACCTTACTAAATAAGCAGTCAACTAGGCCTTAGTAGGATACTAAAATGCCTAGTAGTCTACTATGTAGTTGACAACTAAATTGTTATTCATGAAACCTTACTAAAACCTTGCTAACTAGTTGCTTACTAGAAGAATTTAGTTCCATACGTGAGTAACTGGAATTGGGTGCTTGTGGGTGGAGTGGGCACAAGGGCGGATCCAGGGGGGGGGGGGCCAAAGGGGGCCATGGCCCCCCCCCCCCCAAAACGAAACCATTTTTTTTTTTTTAATGTAACATCGCAATAAAGGCAGGCAATGAGTACACCACCATCTTTTCCTCAAAAAAACATTGGTTAAAGTGGTCAGAAATTGCCTCAGATCGCACCACAGAGCATCTAGAATCCAAAAAAATGTCGGGGCCCTTAAGCGGGCCCCGAACCCCACGCCGTAATTTTTTTGACCCACTTTTTTGGGGGACCAAATTTTTTTTTTTGGCCCCCCCAAAAATTGTGTTCTGGATCCGCCCTTGAGTGGGCATGTATGGAATGTGATGACAACAGATACAATAGTGTGACAGGTGTATCAGCCTAATCCATGTCCAGCACTTGCGTGGACTAGCAAAAAAAGAAGGGAAAAAGTGACCAAGGCCTATATGTGGTATAGTGTACTGCAAGTAAGTAAATCAACATCAAATTCTCTAGCAATTGCATATAATGCAAAAGGGCAAGGAAGGCAAATTATTCTCAAGAAGAGAACTCTTTATGGTAGACAAGTATGAGGAATTAAAATATATTGTTGATGCCAAGCTTAAGGATGCAAATTCTAACAAGAAAAAGAAAGATGCATGGCCAGCTATTCTTAGCCAACACTGAGCAAGATTTCCACAGGTCGAAAGATCATTGGATGATTTAAAACTAGATTATCCAAATTAAAATCCGAGTCAAGAGAATGCCTGTCAAGTATGAGAAAGTCCATGAAGGCAACCAGAGGGGGAAAAACACCTAAAAAGCCAAGTCTGGCACAACAAAAAAATGATATACCGTACTTGCTAACTAGTGACTTAGAGTTGCCCTGGATCTATGCTAACTTTAGTAAGAAACTTAGAATGTAACTAGCATCAACAATGTTTCATGAATACCGATTACTTACCAACTAGGCTTAGTAAGCAACTACATGCCTATTTAGTAATCAACTAGGCTTAGTAAGGTTTCATGAATATGGCCCCTGTTTTTCCAAATTCAAATACTGGTCAATCGACATGCGCATCTGTGCTGGGTAAAGCGGACAATCACCTATCTGTATGTGTTTGTTATGAGGATTGAACTTCAAGATTTTATCTAGCATCCATTTCTTACCTGATATGTTTAATTGTAATTTTTTGTAATATATGGATATCTGTACCTTTCTATGTCATATACAATTGCCAAAGCACCCTTGTCATACTGGACATTAATAATGGATTAATTGTGTGGTCAGGCACAACCCGACCACTGTTTAAAATCGTTCGGATTAATCTTTGTTTAGGTCTTTCTTTTGTTTCCGGACAATACTTCTCAGTGGGTTTTCTCCTAAATGGTTGATGCTATGAACATGTAACTTTCAACATATATCAACCCTTATCCTGAGTGGTGCATATTACTCTGACGTCATTATGACGTCATCGGGTGTCAAATTACAAGCATGGGCGTCACCAGGATTGTTTCTTGAGGGGGCAAAACATATTTTTTGCCAAAAAAATGCCTGTATTTCTCAACACATTCTCGATTTATCAGTTTTAGAGGGGGGCAGGGACATTTTGCCCCCCCCCTCCCCACCATTAAATTTACACCATGACTTCGTGCCTCTTTTTCTTCTTTTTTTTTGCTTTTGCGGGGGGGGGGGGGGGGGGGGGGGGGGGGCAAGTGCCCCCCCCTTGCCCCCCCCCTGGCGACGCCCATGATTACAAGCGATTTTTGTTGAAAAAATTACGATCTTCTTTCACCTATAACTCGATCTTGAACAAAAGGATCAATTATGCTCCAACCGTGTAATTGGATAGACTATTAGTTGAAGTGGCGTATCCAGAGGGGGGGGGGGTAGCATTTTGCCCCCCCCCTTGCAAATTTTGTTCGAAAAATATTTTGTCAGTTACTATTTCCATATATGGTTAGATCAGTTCTTTCGTGATCCACAAAAACCAAGCTCCAAACCCATTACAAATTACAATGCGCTGTAAAAATCGGCATTTTCTAGTATTGATTTTGAAGAGTGCTCCCATTGGGAAGATGGGTACCAGCCTCTCCCCCAGCCCCTTACTCATAGTTAATGCTCGCCAAAACTGAGAGGGCAATACATAATTTTCACTGGTGTGCAATGTATTCTTAAGTGTTTACTCATTTTTTGTACACGTTTATATGACAACTTGTTAACATAGGGACTTTTTTTAGTTTAGATGACCTCATATAAGGCTCAAAAGTTGGGCTGGCAAAAGCTCCCAACTGGGCATTTTTTGAAAATTGGGCACTTTTGTTCCACAAGCATGCACATTGGGGTGAAGAGGGTATGGCGAGCAATACTTTGTATTGGGCCAATGGTGTGCGACCTTAACTCACGATTGTACTTGATGAGTTGAGAAAAACAGTAGCATACTTGGCGTGCATATATGTTGAGACCCAGTGATTAATCTTTGAAAATCAACATAAAATCAACTGTGAGAGATCTGATTTTGCTTTGTGCAGGAATTGATACAATACTCCAGGGTTTTCATTTTTTCATATTACGTGCAAAATCACGTGATCCTTCCTTCTGGTCCAAACCGGAAGTGCCTTGTAATTTGAAATTTGAAAAAGATGTTAACTTGCTTGAAACGATGTTAGTCTCTGGCTAGGTTGTACTTTAGACAACTTAATGGTTACGTCATAAAATGTTAAGCGCCCTCTAGCGGCAGGTTGAAGAAATTTTGAAAATGATTTTCAGTAGAAAGTGGTAAATTTTATGACATATGAAATAGATGCCAGCCCGACCACTCTGCGTTTGTAACTCAACAAACGTGAATCTCTAGTTGAAGAGTGTACATTTGACTATATACCAAGTCAAGAAATAAGACTCATTTTAACTCCATGAGCATGTTTTGAATGATTTGGCAGAGCTTAAGGGAGATTGAGGAAGAACGAAGAGCAAAGACAGAAGCCTTAGCGAAGTGGAGAGAGTTGCTGCAGAAAGCTGAGACACCAAGCATTGGTGGAACATCAGATCCGGATGAACTTGAAGATGAACACCAACAGAAGCTGGATTTGACTAAGCATCTGGTTGAGCTACAGTCCAACATACATCTGGTAACAATTATTTCAATATTTTTTGTATTAGAACTTTTCTTCGGTAACCTGTTCAGTGCTTTAGCAAATTTTTTCATTGGATTCCAGTGGCCAATTTCACAGTTCTTGCAACATGGAATGCTGCACTTATGATAACTTTTCTTTGTCCAGCATCAAATCACTGTGTTATGTGCAAATGTATACAAGAGAAAAGTTCTTGCTAACCTACAAGTAGCCTTGGTGAAGGCGTTCGTCATTATTTGTCCGTACACGGTAAATGATCGGCGGCATATGCTTGCTATGCAGTGCATTAGAAATACAGTGCGAACAGTAACCTCATGCAGCCATGCTATTCATTTGGATCCAGACGAGCGCCTTGGTCCAATCGTCCATTTGTGAGGTCTTGGGAGTGGTGCTCATTATGCTAATAGCCTAAACTGACCTTAAAATCATTTTCTTATTGGTCGAACGTGGCATGGAAACTTGCATATAGTAAGCGAGCGGTACTGATGGCGACTCGGGCATGTACTGTACGTGATACCACACATACACACACGTTGTGTGTCGATGTCTCACATTACACACAGCACCAATGCACACAAAAATGTGGTTTCTGACATGTCCGCAAAGGGGGAATAGCTGCAAATGATTTGATGACGTTGAGATTACCAAGGTGTGATTGCACATTGCACTATTAGCCCCGCCTACACTTATCTGTATTTGCATTTGAGGTAGTGTACTGCAAATCTAGTGGAAAATAGCTTT